CAAGCAAGCAAGCAAGCAAGCAAGCAAGCAAGCAAGCAAGCAAGCAAGCAAGCAAGCAAGCAAGCAAGCAAGCAAGCAAGCACGCACGCACGCACGCACGCACGCACGCACGCACGCACGCACGCACGCAGGCAGGTAGGTAGGTAGGTAGGTAGGTAGGTAGGTACATGTGTGTATGTATGTAAATGTATGTCTGTATATGTATGTGTATGTGTATGCGTATGCATGTATGCATGTAACTGAATTGTTGTGTCTGGGCTGCCATGCGGAGATTGTAGCAGCCCGGCTACTGCAAACCATGTAAGTGTCGGCCTTCAAGCTGCAAAGGCTATAACGAGGAAGCCTGAGCAGTAGTATTGCTAATTGCTCAGGCGACTATATTCGACAGTGATCCCTAAACCATAACCGCTAAACCCTAAACCCTAAACCCCTACACCCTAAACCCTTAACCCCTAGTGTTGAATCCTCAGACCTGGAAAGCTAAACCGACAAACTCGAAACCCTGAAGCCAAGCCAAGCCCTAAACAATCCTGCGCCCGAAGCCCGATAGCCCCAAGCCTAAAACCAAAACATGCTTCATTGGGTTATAGGGTTTCAGGTCCCTATAAACCCTAAACCCCTGATTCATTGCACCTGCAAGGGGCTAGAAAGCCTCGCCGGCTCGTGCTGTCGCCATCAGAAGCTCGCCTTTTCAGTACCTTCCGAATCTTCCGAATGGGCTTGGGGTGTCGGGTTTAGGGGTCCCAACCCCAGGGGCCAAAGAAACAAATCCTGTCAGAGTTCCTATGGGGTGCACTACCCTACACCCTAAACCTCTTAAAATTCTAAACAGCGTTTAGGGTTTAGGGCTTCGGGTTGAGGGTTTACGGTCGAGGGTTTAGTGTGTTAGGGGTCGATGTTTAAGACAAACCTAAACCCCGACAAACGAAGCATTCGATCCCGAACACAAACCCTGAACCCTGACCCGCAAACGCAGGGTTCAAAGATCTGTTGCTACGTAGATTCTGTCGTAGTTTAATTGTCTTGAGTTCTGGGATACTGCTTGTGCGCAGTTTGTGAATCGAGCAACTTACTTAAACACTTAGCTGGTACTTAGGCAAAGCCGCACACGCCCAGCAGTGTAGGGACTAGCCCAGGTCCTCCACGACGATCTTATAAGCTAGCCAAACCCTAAACCCTAAACCCTAAACCCTAAACCCTAAATTGGGTGTTCTGGTGCCAGTTTCGAGAGTTGCGCAACATGTACTGGAATCCTTGGCCAGAGTACCGAGTAATTATCAGGCAAGAGTTCTATGACACCAAATGCAGGCAAGCGAAGCTACGGAGCAGATGTAGAGACCTCGCGATGATCCCGGAAGTCATCTGCCAGCATGGACGTGTGCGATGAAGATTTCGGCGAAAGGGCGGTTGGAGCGATCATGACGACTACAGCCACGAAGAGCACGGACATGGATGCTCGATGACTCGATAGAAACCCTTCGTCTTCAGCTTGAGTCAGCCAAAACTGTTTTCGTGCTGTCTGCGCGAAATAGCTACAAACCGAATGACCCTAATATAGTAGGAGCCTGCATAATTGCCAATATCGCTGATAGGGCTCCTTATTAAAATGATTATACCATAAATAAAAGAGCCCAGAACCCTATTCTGACTATTAAAGCCCCTATATTATGCCCAGGTACTGTCAGTTCCTATACGGTAATTGCACCACAAAGGGGTAAGTTTCGTCCAAACAGTAAGTCCTTTCGGGCCTTGGGACCCACAGTAGAAGCTACATGTTGGTCACTTAGGGTTTAGAGCTTTCGGTTTGATGTAGGGGCCCTTGATAATTGGAATAGGGTTTTTGGGCCCATTATACGATATTTATAGTACAGTAATGACCCCCCCCCCAAAAAAATAACATGGGTAATTATTCAGGTCCCTAAATTACGGTTTCGTGGATCGTGCTGGTTAGCTCGGGCAGGCATTGCCGAAGTTACGGTATGGAACCTTCAAGTGGGACCCTCAATATAGAGGTCTGAACAACTGGTAGCAGCATCTCGCTATATATTGCAATGTAGTTATACCTAAACCCTAAACCGCATATACCAGCATGCCACGAATTTCCAATATAATTCTTAAGGCCCCTCGATTATGACTTTCGTCTCCAACATAGTAGTCCTTCTTGGGACTACCGGAGAGGATCACAAAATATAAGCCTGGCTAAACCAAAAAAGGAACTACAATGGAAACTATGGGTGTAGAATGTGTCCCTAAATCCTAAACCATAAGCCCCTCAGCTCTAAACCCTGAACCCTAAACCCCCAAACACCCCTCAACCCTACAACCATAACCGAAATCTCAAAATCATCCTGGTTGGTAACTCGGGCCCTCAGACTTAAATCCTGACCTCGACACGGGCAGGCGGCGAACAGCCAGGCAAACGTCCTCGCCGAGTGCGTTGATCGGCGCTCGTTTGGGCTTTGGGGCTTCGGGTTTAGGGGTTAACGGTGTAGAGTTGAGGGATTAGTTTTCCACTCTTGCGGGTAATTAAAAACCGATGTTGGCCCCTCTAAAACCCCCAAATACCTCATGCTGCACTTTGCAAGCGAACTACTTACCTGCTGCTAGGACCTAGGATCCCTCATGGAAAGGCACTTGTGGGTCTGGCTCCAGGGTGACGGCTTAGGCTTTAGGGTTAGGGCTGAGGGCTTATAGGATTTCGGGTCTTGGCTTGAGTGTTTTGTTTTGGGTTTAGGGTTTAGGGTTTAGGGTTTGGGGTGAGAATTGAAAATGCAGTGGCCTCAATAGTTACCCATATTATTCTGGGGGTTCCTTATTACCATTATACTATAAAGGACTATTTTAACTATTAAGGCCTCTATACTAGGGTGGTCGGCTTAGGGTTTAGGGTTTAGGGTGGTGAGTGGTGTCAATGTGCATCGCTTGCATGATTCGGGCTATATCCCGGAGGCGTTGGTCACTAAATCGTCCGTCATGCCCTCAAAGAGTAGTGTGGCTTATTGTAGTAGGATGAGGGACGTGTCCGGTAGAACTTTAAGTGTTCACCCTGGTTAGGTACTTTCTCCATGTAAGTGGAGGTTCCCAGTAGCCCCAAGACAACAAGGAACCAGCGAAGCCATGGATATCGGATTCAGGGGTTATGGGTTGAAGGCAGTCTTGCTGTCGTAGTGTGAAAAGGCCTGGTGGTAAGGCTTGATTCGAGTTTATGGCTCGGGGTTACGGGCTCAGGGTTGAGGGTGTGCCATGGACCTGTGACCTTTCCTTTAAAGGCTTAGGGTTTAGGGTTTATGCTCGAGCAGAGCTGTCTGAAACCTCGCTTAGCAATCATCTTGAATAGACGTAGAAATCCGCAACACTCTGCAGAGGGGTTCACCTGGACGACCAGTGGCAGTTCCTTACCCATTAACACAGTGGATTCCGAATTCACAGTCCTGATGACATAGTTATTCCCTTGCCATCGTGACTTGCTACGCAAAAAGCTCACCCATCTGGGTCATCCAACTATCACTGATGGCTGCCCCTTGAGTTAAGAGGGAGATCCTGCATGTCGCAAGCACCTGTCCCAAAAGGAAATCCGTGCTTCATGATATGAGCCTACGCAGGAGAGGACAAGGCAATAAGCTTTGGTGGAAAGACCGTCCTGTCACAAAGCTTCCAGAGAACGCACCGCAAGCGCCCAGCACCACCAGAAGTGTGCACAGCGCCGGGCAACCGCGAGCCATGGCTGCGTGGTAGATGAGATGGAACGCCAGAAAGTTGAGCGTGCAGTATAGCAGAACAGTTGTGTCTTTGGTTTCGGGCGCTCTGACATAGTCAGACCTCAGAATCTGAAGGAAACGATCTGGAACCCACGTGTCACATCTGACCACGGTGCAAACTTAGATAGCTACACTGCAAAGGCTGCAGATAAAACAGGTCAGGCACATAGACATGATCTTTGTCTTCAATCAGCAACATTCGAATCATCATCATCATCATCATCATCATCATCGTCTTCATCTTCCTCACCGTCATCATGATACCTATACATGGTCGGGTCTGGGGTGTTTAGGGTTTAGGGTTTAGCGGACAAGATTTGAAGATATCTCCGGTGCGCTTGGGCGTCGTTCTCATCATCGAAATGGTTCGCATCCACTCCTCTCGGAGACTCCCAAAATCCTTGCTTGCTTCATGGGCTAGTTGTGGCTCTGACTAGCAGTTACCCTTCATGAGGGACCCTGAAATACGGGAAATTTGGTAAGGGTCCGGGTTGCTCAGCCGGGCGCCTGCCAGCTTGCTCATGTCTTGTTCCATGCCTAAGGGCCTACTTATTTCAAGGCCTTATCAAGATTTGTACACGGGTGCATCTGGGGTGGTTGTAAAGAAGTCTTCACTTGTCCCTAAACTAATGCAACAAATCAGCGATTAGCTCCCTGGCATCGGGCGTTCCGCGTTGGTCCTAGTTGATGAACAAGTTTGACGAATTAGTCGGAAAACCGTTCTTAAGGCTCGGAATGGGCCTCTCTCGGACGGATTTTCTTTCTCCTGGATCCAAGTGCAGCTTGCGGCATTCGGTGGCATGCAAAAGGGCTCGGCCACGCGGGATGGTTCTGCATTCTATATCTTCACCTTTTCAAGTATATGCATCTACACCTGACTGTCCACGCTTTTAACGTAGTATTCTGTGTAGCTTCACCTTATATATATATATATAAGTATGCAGAAAGGTGGCTGAAGCCCAGGTATAGAGTTGCTGGTGAAACCTCGATGATCTGTGCCGGAGGCTACAGCTGAAATAGCGGGGCCTCAATAATTCGACGGGGGTTCTGGGATACTAAAGGAGTCTCAATAATTAGATTAGGGTTTGTTTTGGGCTACTTAATATATTCATAGTATGATAGGGCCCAAAACCCTGTTCTAAGTATTAAGGCCCCTACATCACATTGTTCTTTCAGTTCATTGACATACCATGCCCATATTGGCTTTCATTGAAAGGATATACAGAAATAATACACGTCAGGCCTCTATATGATATGGTTGGGTTTAGGGTTTAGGGTTTAGGGTTAAGGGTTAAGGGTTTAGGGTTTAGGGTTAAGGGTTTAGGGTTTAGGGTTTAGGGTTTGTTCATGGGGAAATGCTAGGGTTCCTTTGGTACACGGGGTGGGGTTTTGGGCCTAGGATTTGTAGGGGTTTAGGGGTCGGAAGCCTGGGTGCTTGAGTGGCTCTAATTGTAGGGGCCTTGATAATTAGAATAGGGTTTGGGGCTTCTTTATAATATATTTATGATAAGGAACCCTAAGAATAATAAGGGAAATTGTTTAGGCTGCTATATTACCATGAAGTCTCCTGCCATGGGAAGGGTCCTCCCCCGACTTTGGGGGGGACGCCTGGGGCCTCGCACCTTCACATCAATCCAGCTTCACGCGATTGTCTTTGGCCCACTTCTTGATCCGTGTGATGATGTAGTCCACCTGTTAAAGGAAACTACAGGTGGGGAGTGTAGAATATAAAGGGCCTTCTATAAGGCTTCTTGTTAGGTATCTAGACCTTCTATAAGGCTCCTATAACCGTAACTACCCCACCTGAAAATGTCCTGGGCTGAAATTCCCCCACAATCGCGGCTTAGGGCTTCAGGCTCGGAAGGGCCTTCCTATTGCAATATCAGCTCAGGGGTAGAGTAAGACTGTTTAGGGTTTAGGGTTTTGTTGCCTTGGGAAAGAACAGTGCAAACATAGGGCTTAGGGTTTAGGGCTTAGGGTTTAGATGATAACCTCCGAGAAAGCAGTGTAACCTCCCGTCACCCCTCGAACAGTACTCTTGAGCTTTGAAGGACCACTCAAAGACTCTTTACCCTAAACCCTAAACCCTAAACCCGCAAGAAGCCCTGCTTTGGGATCGAATCCTAATTCCCCTGCCTTTGTCAAAGACTCTTTTCGGAGCTGGAGGCTGAAAACTGACTGAAGCCACGCGCTCTGGAACGCACAAGGTGGGCTTTAGGTCCTAAGGGGTTCCAGGGTTTAGGCGGTTTGGGGTTTGGGGTTTAGGGTTTAGGGTTTAAGCTGTCGGGTGGTAGGGTTCAGGGCTGAAGGCCTTTGGGTTTAGGGTTTGGGTTTAGGGTTTAGGGTTTAGGGTTTAGGGTTTTGAGTTTAGGGTTTAGGGTTTAGGGTTTAGGGCTAGGAAGGGCTGGGGTCTGGGTGTAGGTGACACTGAACCGCGGTCGCTCAGCCAAGGCATTAATCATTAACCCTAAACCCTGAACCCCGAACCCTAAACCCTAAACCGTGAACCTTTAACCCTAAACCCTGAACCTAGACCCTGAATCCCGAACCCTACACCCTAAACCCTAAACCCTGAATCCAGAATCCTAAACCCCAAAAGGAAGAAGCCCTACTGTTGATATAGAAATCCTGCATTACCTTCAGGACCCTAAACTAAGGGAATTCTGGTAGATTCCTTATTATGGGTACTGCAGGATTTATATGGGTAGTTCTAAAAATTTGGGGTCCTTTTTAGAAGGGTGCCGTACTATATTGGGGACCCAAAAAGGGTCCCTACTTTGGAGAACTACCCTAAACCCCCAAACCCTAAAGCCCTAAAGCCCTGAAGCCCTAAGCCCTAAAGCTTTAAAGCCCTAAAATCCGAAAGCCCCAAAACCCTAAAGCCCTAAAGCCCTAAACCCTGGTATATTTCTTATGTATATCATCAACCGTATCTAAAGGGAGCCTGGCACCTCCGAAGAGACGTCAAAGAAGGTTACCGCAGTCTTAGGGTCCGGGTCTCAGATTTTCGGGTTTAGGGATACTGCAGTCTTTACCCTAAACCCTAAACCGTGCCTTAAACCCTAAACCCTAAACCGTGCCTTAAACCCTAAACCCTAAACCCTAAACCCGGGTTTAGGGTTTAGGGGATCATCAACCGTATCGCTCAAAGGCATGGTTGGCCTGAGGGTTGCTGGAATTCCGCAGCAAGTGCACCACTTCCTCAAGGGGTCTAAGGTCGGGGCCTTAGTAAGTTTAGGGTTTAGGTTTTAGGGTTTAGGGTTTAGGGTCGGGGGCCTTAGTATTTAGAACATGGCTTCTTTAAAGGTCCCTAAAGGGGTTCTAGAAGGGAGATACTACAAGGGTTTAGGGTTTAGGGGCCTTAATAATTCCTTAAGGGGTTTAAGGTTTAGGGTTTAGGGTTGGAGGCTCATGGTACTAAGCAACTAGGGCTTTTTGGGCTCTAGGGCTTTAGGGATTTAAAGGGTTTACGTAGGGTTTTGGAGCTTTAGGGTTTCAGGGTTTTCGGAGTTTGGGGCGACTTGGGCGGCTGCTGGGACCCAGTAACTGAGCACATAAGTACCTTAATTAGGAGTATAAGTCGTGTATAAGTAATTATAGTTACCTTATTTGCAACACTAGCTACTAAGCCCCATCATCCTTCCAGAGTTGGGAGTATAAGTATAGTTACCTGGGCTTTGAAGTAACCAGGGAGAAAAAAGTATAGACCTTTATTTCATAATGGTTCCTTTAAGGAACAGGTCCCCCAAAAAGTATTAAAGTATGGTACTCCAAAGCCGAGATAAGCCTAGCTACCTTACTTGCAACCCTAGCTAGTAAGCCCCATCATCCTTCCAAGTGGAGGGTATAGCACTTAAGGTGTAGGGCTTCAGAGGCTTAGGACTTGGAGGGTTTAGGGAGAGCAGAGGTTCTGGCGTGTAGTGAAGGCTACAAGGGTTTAGGGTGTCTGCGCTTTGAAGTAACCAGGGAGAAAAAAGTATAGACCTTTGTTTCATAATGGCTCCTTTAAGGAACAGGTCCCCCAAAAAAGTATTAAAGTATGGTATTCCAAAGCCGAGGTGTAGGAACACGAGCGATAAGACTATCATCATAAAAATCACGACAAGTAACATTCAACAACACACAATAATAAGAGCGATCATTTCACTGGTAACGAGGGCTTTGGATATCGGAGTCAGGGGCGTGAGCTGAGGTTTGGGAGTCAAAGTTCGGGATCTTGGGTGCAAGGTTTCGGGCGTGCGAGAAACTCCTTGCCCAATGTCAAACCCCTTACCGCTCCAAGAACGGAATAGGGTTTAGGTTTAGGGTTTAGAGTTTGGGGCTTTGGGTTTCGGGTAGTCTCACATCTTTCCTTGGGAATGCAGCCGCACCCACATGCCGCATATACCCTAAACCTTGCATCCCTAAACCCTAAACCCTAAACCCTAAACCCTAAACCCTAAACCCTAATCCATGGAGCCATGCGCGTTCTCTGGACCTCTGGGAGTCCCCAGCCGTAACTTCAAAACCCAAACCCAAACCCAATATAGGGCCTTAACAATTAGAACAAGTTTGTATAAATATAAATATATATATATATATTTATTTATTTTATTTATTTAAATTTATTTATTACTTTTTGGGGGGTGGTGTTTTCTTTTATATTGATAATTTCTTCCATATTTAAAATAAAACCACCCAACAAAAATAGTATTGGTAACTATTTAGGCCCCTCTTTTTTACGCCTATGCAACCCTAAAGCCCCAAGGCCCGAAGCCCGCAGTCTGCAAGCGCTCCGAATATAGGTTTAGGGTTTAAGGGTTTAGGGTTTAGGGGTTTAGGGTTCAGGGTTTAGGGTTTAGGGTTTAGGGGTTTAGGGTTTAGGGGGCCTTACCCTAAGGGTCCAAGTGCCCAAATAGTAGGGTTTCAGGTCCAAAAAACTACCCAGAGCATGGATTTTTGGACTTAAAACCTTACTATTTGGGTACTCGGACCCTCTGGGTTAAGGATTAGAATAAAGTTTTGCGCTCGACTTTTACTATAACAAAAGAATAAGGAGCCACAGAAGCTTCGGTAGAAGGCTCATGAAAGGCCTTTCAGAAGTCCTCGTAAACTTTGAAACCCCGTTTAAAAGGTCGTATGCCAAGGAACTAAACTTAACCTCTTGAAAACACCGAAAACCAATAAGACCCCCCTAAACCCTAAACCCTAAACCCTTAAACCCTAAACCCTGAACCCTGACCTGCAAAAGACCGTCCTGGAGCTTGTCTGGGGACTCCTTCCCGGCAGCACAACGCTGAAGGATGCCCACGGCGGCGCCCCTTTTGCCTTCCCAGAACCTGGGTTTAGTCCTTTAGTGTAGGGGCCTTAATATCGCCGATAATAATGAGAATAAGGTTTTGGGCTCCTTTATAGTATTAATATTCTAGCAAGGAACTTCGGGTTTAGGGTCTGGGGGAACCTAGGGTTTAGGGTTTAGGGGAACCTAGGGTTTAGGGCTTAGGGGAACCCTACACCAAAAACGTCTTTTTTTATGGCTGAGGGCTTTTGTACGTGTCTGCCATTTCCCTAAACCCTAAACCCTAAACCCTAAACCCTAAACCCAAGGGGGAGAGGGGTTGCGCTAGGTTGGTACAGGGTTTGGGGCTCCGTCCTCGGATGCTTGCGTTTACCCTTACCCTCAAGGGACTCATTCTTTTTAAGGCGTTTGAGCCCAAAGACCCTATTATATGAGGCTTTTGGGCTATTTTGATGCTAAGGGTTAGGGTTTAGGATATTAGGGCTTGGAGTTTTGGGTTCAGGTGCGGGGGGAGCAGAGAATTTCAAGTTCTACGGTTTGTAGAGATTGGTTTAGCCATACAGTTCGACCACATTGAAGACTACAGGTACGCTACTATAGACTAGTTGCTTGGAGGGTCTGGGTAAACAGGCAAAGATCACCAAACAAACTTCAACAGAAACGAAGCCTTAACAGTTGTCATCGCGTTTGGAGGGTCAAGCTTACACTGCTGTGCTGATGCGAATCTTCTCGGAATGAGAACTGACGCAAATCTTCTCGGAATGAGAACTCCACTCCACACCAGCACATACTGCTAGGGTTGAGCCTAAACCCTTGTCAGCGTAAGAAATTAGCTTGTCGTTGTGGTTTGACATCTTGTCAGTGCGTCTTTGAACCCTGTCGTGGTAAGGACCTACTCTGCATATTCTACGATAGTTGTATGAAGCAACCCAGGAGCCCTGTTCTAATCATTAAGGCTCCTAGATTACGTCTCTTAGCACAGGTCGTTAATGATGTGCAAACCACTGCTATCCCGCAAAATTGCTTTTCCAGAACCACATGTACACGGTCATCCATACCAAACCCTGTAGATCATCATCAAGATGCAAGGAGAATTGAATCCTGTTTCACAACATTTTAATACAAACCTCCAAATCAAGGTCCAAATCCAAAGCTCTACCGACCAAATGTGCAGGTCCCCTTGTAATCCCTATTATAATTCTCAACCCCTAAAACTGCACAACACCCTAACCCCCAAACCCTAAACCTTAAACCCCTAAGCCCCAGACCCCAAGCCCTAAACCCTAAACCTTAAAACTCCAAACCTTAAATCCTAAACCCTAAACCTGAAAGCCTCAAAACCCGAAACCCTAAAGCGCAAGGAGCTCGGGATCAAAATATCGCAAAAGCCTTATATAGTATGGTCTTTGGGCCCAAAAGCCTTAACATAGGAGTCCTTAAATCCTAAAGCAAGGAGCTCGGGATCCGGATCTAACCTCTCCAGCACGTCGAAGGCTTTGCAAGCGTAGTAGAACTGGCCCATCTTATAGCAGTCATTGGCCTGGGTTTAGGGTTAGGGTTTAGGGTTTAGGGTTTAGGGTTCAGGGTTTAGGGTTTAGGGTTCAGGGTTTAGGGTTTAGGGTTCAGGGTCTAGTAGAACTGGCCCATCTTATAGCAATTAGAGATTGGTGTTCGGGATCTAATCTAGGGTCGGCCTATGCCTAGTAGCATTCGGATAACCGCAGACACTAACCTACCGCCCTTAAGGAGACTTTCTGGGTTTTTATGCCCAGGAACTCAGCTTCTTATTCTGGCAAACGCAAAAAACTCAGTGTTCAGGGCTTGGAAGGAAGGCTTCTTTCTATATAGCAGCACAACATGGTAGCCCTAAGCCCTTTGGACATAGGTGTTTGATGGGAACCCCTAATGCAAATCTGGCACACCGGAGAACCCCAAGTTCAACCCTATGAAGCCTATACAGTCTTTGAAGCCGGAAAAGGAACTTATGTAAAGTGTCGTATGCAACCTTAGGACACCCCATAGCAACCCGACAAGCGCTGCTATCAAAATCCAGAACCCGACAGTAGAGGCCAGGAAGATGGAACACCATTACTCTCATGCGCGTAAGATAATAAAGTTTCGGGGGGATTCCGCACTAAACATCCTCAAGGTGTATCCCAACTTTTTGGGACCCACTATAAAATCAAACTAAGGGGATACTGGATTTCACAGATTAAACCATGGTTTTGAACTACTGTGCCCAGTTCTCGAAATATTTTGTAATGTAGCTACACGAGGACTGCCACTGCATGGGATTATACTCTTAGTGGTTATTCAGACCTCTAAGCTCGAGTTCCGGTGTGTGGTTTGGCGCTTGAGTTGGTCGATTCTTGAAAGGCCTGGGTTTCATATCTACGGGCCAAGAGTTAAAGGAAACTACAGGTGGCGAGTTTAGGGTATATAGGGCTTCTATAAGGCTTCTATAAGGTATATAGACCTGCTATAAGGCTCCTATAACGGTAACTACCCACCTGAAAATGTCCTAGAAGAGTCTGGGCTTTAGAGTTTACCTCGTGGGGGGACGAAGCCCTCTATTTGGAGGGCTCCGTGCAGGGATTTGCTAGGAGTTATATCTTGCAATAAACTTCTAAAGCTTCAACCCCTCACCTCAACCCTAAACCCTAAACCCTACCCTTCACCTCAACCCTAAATGCTAAAACCAACTCTTTGTCCAAGCCCCTAGACCCAAAGCCCAGACCCGTGAACCTGTGAAGCACGGCCGCCTCCATGCCAAAGCTTCGAAGGCCGCAACTACTGGTTCCTTAATGTAGGGGCCTTGATAAGTAGAATAGGGTTTGGGGGTATATTATACTATACTTATAATAAGGAACCACCAAATTGGTATTGGTAATTATTTAGGCTTCTATATTGATTGAGCGGATGAGTTCTGAAGGAGGGTTTCAACAATCTTCACCCTGAACCACCATGCCGGCAAAGTCGATTCCAACCACAAAGCATAGTAAAGGGGTAGAAGTTAGAAGTATGGGCCTCTAATATGGACCCTTAGGCCTTTCTAGGGAGCATTGAGGGTACAGATAGGGTATATAGTAGGTGTATATGGGTTAAGGGACCGTACTAGGGGCCCATGGGTTCAACCTTACACATAAACCTGCGACGAGCCGAGTCGCTATGAGGTGGAGCAAGTTGAACGACTCGTTGCTTGTATCCATTCCTGATTATGCGCTTCCTCTAACCTTGCATGCATAACCCAGTGCAGAACTACTGCTATTCGCGGAATGTGTAGGATGTGGACCAGGCACAATCGGGGTTCCCTGCTGTGGTTCTGATGAGGTGCATGCCGAAAATACGGCCAAGGGGTACTACAACGGGACCCGGCGTCACCAACCCGCCGAAGGAACCATTGCCAACTACTTGCTCTGCAACCTGTTTGCACATATATATATATAATATTATACATATATATATATATAGCGAGAGAGAGAGAGAGGGAGAGAGATAAAAAGAGACAAGACAGAGAGAGAGAGAGAGAGAGAGATAGAGAGATAGAGAGATAGAGACATGCAGAGAGAGAGAGAGAGAGAGGCTTTACTCAGCGGAGACTTAACATTCCCGGGCCATTTCCTCGTAGAGCCTAGGAGCAACTCGAAACTCCACATCCTATACCGAAAGCACTAAGGATACAAACACACTGGGGGGGGCACGGAAGTGGAAGGGATTTTGGGCTCTCATCTACACCAGGAGCCCTTACAACTGAACCTCGAAACGAGCGCAGTCCTCAATGTACTTCCTCTGAAAATCTCTGAAGTTTCAGCATACGGATGCTCCAACTAGGTGCAGGCATGCTTCGGACGTACATCTCCCATGCGCGATTAGGCTCGTTGCTCATGATGTGGCAGCGAGAAAGCCAGCTCATCCAGCAGAACCTCTTCGACTTCTGATCGACTTCTGAGGCACAAGAGTCCCGGTGTTAGTGAATCTGCAGAAAACATTGCATTTTCGGGAAATGAGCTTGGCAGTTCGAGGTCTATTGCAAAGCCAGATTTCAACATGGAGACCCTGCAGTTTATAGCTGCCCTTAACCCTGAACTCTGTAGTTTCTTATAAATCCCCATAACACCTATACAGCCCTGGAGAGAACCCATAAAGGAAGCCTAGCTATCGGTCTGTAGAGACTGTTCAAAGGCCATGTCAGCTTCAGCAATCATCCTTCCGCGTACGCATCGCTTCTGCAGTTCAGATCTCATTACATCATGCTTTTAAATGGTCGGAATGAGGTTTGGGGATGTTTGGGGGGTATGAAAAAACAGTTTATATGTTTAGACAAATCTTAAAGGATTACCATTACTGATCCTAGGGGTCGGGTATATTGGAATGTACAATTCACATTAATGAGCCAGCCTCAGCCAGATACGAAACTCTACACCCCCACACCCTAAAGCGAAACCCTACACCCCTGAACCCTAGACCCTATACCCTATGAACCCCTAAACCCTTGACCCTAACCTTCCTAAACCCTAAACTTTATGAATCCCTAAACCCTAAACCCTAGACTTCCTAAATTCTAAGCTTTAAAATCAGGAGCTAAGACCCAAAGCCTTGAGCAGAAAGCGCCGACCTGAACATTTAAGTCTCCAAGCCTAGGTAGAGGATGTGGGGACTTGGATAGGGCTTAGGGTTTAGGGTTAAGGGTTCAGGGTTTAGGGTTTAGGGTTTAGCAGCTGATGGAAACAGACGGACTACCTGAACAAAGCATGACAGTGCCAATTTTGGTAAGGACAACCTCTCAGTATTATTGGCATAGTCTTAAGAGCATAACGCCAACTAGGTTACCTGTAAATCTACGTTTGCCCTACCAGTAGATCCCCTGACCATCTGAGTGGATCCCATCTGCTCTGACAAAAAAGCCAAGGAGCTCGGCACGATACTTCTCGTTCTGGATCCTGATTTCGAAAGGGTATACCCTAAACGCTACACCCCGAATCTTCGTTAAACCCTACAACAAGAAGACAAAAACCCTATAAACGGTACACAGATCACAAAACGAACCAATAAATACATTGGCTATAAAGTAGACTTTTAAGTAGGGTTACCCCAATTAGGGCATTTTGCAACTCTACCTTTGACACACCTACTAAGTCCCCCGATCCTCATCGCGACTATGAAATAAACTTTCGGCACATCATAGGCACCGTAAAGACATGCATACACAACAAGCATGTTGCGGCCTTAGCATAGACCCCTATTAACAGACTCCCTCCCCTTGATGGAGACCATCTTTAGTAGACATCCTACATGATCGAGTCCCTTGAAGAGGAGCTCTATTAACCAGGCGCCTACATCACGAACACCTGACCCCAAACCCAAAAACCCAAAACCCAAAACCCTAAACCCTAATTGCGCGGGACCAGGAACCCTTGCCTTACCAGGTGGGGAGTTCAGGGTATACAGGGCTTCAATAAGGCTTCCATAAGGTATAAAGACCTGCTATCCTGCTATAAGGCTCCTATAACGGCAACTACCCACCTGAAAATATCCTAGATCAAGACCCGATGCCGCCAGATCACTGAAGGAGCGCCTCCTTTCCTTCTTTGTAGTCCCCTGCCGTCAGCAAAGGCTGCTTTGTCTTTTAGGGGTTTATGGTTCAGGGTGTTAGGACATGGGACGTTCGGGGCCTTGACCTGAATGTAGGGGCCTTAGTAATTAGAATAGGGTTTTGTGGCCCGTTATTTTTATATTATAATAAGGAGCCCCCAAAGTAGTATAGGGATTTTTTTAGGCCCCTTCCTTAAGCCCTAAACCCTAAACCCTAAACCCTAAACCCTAAACCGAAGTGGTTTAGGGGTTTCGGGTTCAGGCTGTGACGTGTAGGAGTTGGGGGATGAGGCCTCCCTGCTGTCACGGAGACCCAAAGGGTCCAAGTATTCATTTATAGGGGTTTAGGGTTTAGGGTTTAGGGTTTATATGGTAGCTACTTTGTAGCTATTTTGTCCCCAAAATTATCTGGGTAGTTCTTTAAAGGAAGGTCCGTTTTGGGGTCCTTTTTATATGGGCCTTAAAGGGGACCCTAATTTAGAGAACTACCCATAATACTATACTCTGCTATAACTTGGACACTTTGGGAGAGTTCTTCTCCCTTGTTGGCTTCATACGTGGCTACAGACGGAGCCGACTTGTCCTTTAGAGCTCTTTGGGCTTCTGGGTTCAGGGTTGAGGTTAGGGGTTTAGGGTTTAGGGTTTAGTTTAGGGGTTTAGGGTTTAGGGTGTCTGGACTTTGAAGTAACCAGGGAGAAAAAATATAGACNNCCCCCAAAAAAGTATTCAAGTATGTTACACCAAAGCCCAGACTTGCAGTAGGGCTGCTATACTTTGCGGACCTGCTTTTTTTTAGAGTGAGCTGATAGGGCTTTATACGGGGTAGGTTCAAGGGTTGAGGGTCGAGGCTGGGAGTCTTGAGATTTTTCTCGCTTCCCGGTTTATGGTGCGAGTGCATGAGCTGTACAGATAAACACATAAGGCGTGGCGTACAGTCTGTATACTATACATACTAGTATCGGGACTATAAGGGAACACGATTTCTAACCATTCCGACCTCTAGTTGAGAGTGCAGACGGACAGCTCAGCGTGTGCAGCCTTTTTTGGGGGCTTTCGGGCAAGACGGGAAACTTGATCCTAGAGCTAATATTTTGGGGAGAATTATTCCGAAGGATGTATAGTATCACATAATCTCAAAGGGACCATCAGGGGATAGTACTAGGCTGAAGCCACCGACTCCCGAATGGTTAAGCACCACCTGAAGGAGCACAAACGCACCACTTTTAAGCCCCACCGTGGAAGCTCAACGACCCTAAACTCGAAACCCTTCTAAACCCAACTGAACCCCAAACCCAAACCCAGGTCCCCCAAAAAGAAAACATAGAGGGGGGGGGGGG